GGTCAGCTTCTCACAGGAAGGGGTCCTTCCTCCCCCAACCTTTGTGGTTTTATATAGGGCCTTATCCATAAGTAATAAATTTGGATCCAGATATGGTAAATCTTGCTGCCCCCAGAAATTCTTATTTGGCACCAGGTGATTGGGTTTGGAAGGGCACAGAGAGCCTGTTTTCATTCTGTGCCTAGTTAGGTTTCCCCCTGAGTCACTGTGAAGCCTAAATATTTGAACTTTTGTCAGCATATTTGTACCTTTTTCTTGGATACCTTATATTCAACCCTCTAAAGGAAATGAAGGAGATCTTTGGTTTCCTGATAATAGTCCCCTCAGGTTGAAGCTGCCAGAAGGAGGCCAGTTACATACTGCAGCAAGGTGCAGTTGTTCCCTGGTGTAATGAAAACTTTGAGGTTGGTAGCTAGTGCCTCTCCAAGGATTGTAAGAGTTTTTAAACCCCTGGGGAAGCCTAGTTCAGGATAATTGTCCTCCATTGAAATGCAAAGGTGAGCTGACTGGCCAGCACAAGGCATAAAGAGAAAAAGGCACTTTTAAAATCTAAGCAGGTAAACCAAGCAGCATTTGCTGGATTAAGTCACATTAATGTGTATGTATTTGGTACTGTTTGATAAATTGTCTCCGTGGCTTGATTTACAGTGTGTAAGTCCTATACTCATTTGTCCCTGGCTTACATACTGGTAGGAGTACAGTATTCCAAAATGACTGGCATCTAGCCAGGACTCCTTGTTTTAAGAGCTGCTTTAAATGTTCTTAAATGCCTTGTGTGGCTTCCCAGTGGAGGAAGTATTGGTGAACTTGAATTGGATTTGCACTCAGATTTAGATCTGGTATCACAGGTGTTTGATTTACAGCTAGCCCCAGTGGGTTTTCTTCAGCCCACATCCCAGGAATCTCTTGTGCTAGTCTATTTAGTTCATCTACCTCTGGCTTTTGTGACTTATCTGAATATAGTCTCCATTCTTCTGCCTGTGGGACGGTAAGGGTTAACACCATGGGTTTTGGTTGAGCCAGACTTAAAGTCTTATCCCTTTTTTTCCTAAAAGTAGTTCAGCTTGCAGCTTTTAGAACAAGTCTCTCCCTAACAAGGCAAGTGGGCAGTTTGGCATTTACAGAAACTCATGTTGAACTTTTCATTCATTCATCTATAATACACCTTTTAGACTGGCAAAACAGTTTCTTTTCTGGATCCCTGGTAGCTTTTACAGTAGTAACATTTCTCTTGGAAAATGGCTCAATAGGTTATGTCATCACTGAATACTTACCTCCATTGTTTACCATAAACTCTGTCAATTGGCCTCTATATTCATTGTGACCATGGGCTCGTGGGAACCTAACGAGATAGAGCCCAGTCTGGCCTAGTCTTTATAATCTTCAGTTCTTAAAAGTCCAAAGAGACCAGCATCTGGTTTCTCCAAAGGGCAGAGCAGCCTTTAGCAGGTAGCCTCTTAGTTTTGTAAATTTTATCATGTCATCATTTTCTGGACATTTATTTTTCTAGTGCCCATAATTTTACATCACACACATTAATTTCAGTCTAGCTTTGGTCGATTTGTAGGCTAGGCTTGGTTTGGCTACTGTTTTGCCTGCATTTGTGTCTCTGCCCTTAGTGATCTCTATCTTTTTTCCCACAGCCTTATGCCAACAGGTCTACTTTTTTGAGCCTCTAGTTGGCCTCCAGCTTTGCTTCCTGGTCACAGTAAATGTATTTTTGGGGGATACTTTAAAATCTTTGCTGTCCCCAATTTGTCTCTGAGTCTACTAGCAGGGGTAATTTTATTTTCTCCTTTTGGCTTTTGTTCAGCTTGGGCCACAAGTGTCTAACAGTAAGGCTCTAAACAGGGCTGAAGCCAAGCAGGTCAGGTCTGAACCATATTCAGCCATGAGTCAATTTTAAAAAAGTTGATCTGAGTGTCTTAGTGCACTTCCTTCTCTAGTCACTACCAGATATATACATCCAGTTGTTTTTCTATCGATGGTCCCTTTGGCTGGCTATACAACATCAAAGGAGGGCCAATTTATTTTATAGTTAGCCTCTGGGGGGTCAGCTTTACTCTGTAGTCCTTGTATTACTTCTTTTAAAGTTTTTAAACGTATATTTTAATGGGATGGGTTTTGATGCTTTTTCTCCTTTAAATACTCTGCTGTGATGCAAATCATTTTCTCCAGCACTTTTGCTTTAGGAAAAACCTGAGCTCTACCAAACTAACAAACAACCATGTCTATATACCTTTACCTGTATCTATTTTATAAACTATTTCCATAAGCTTTTATTTGACATAAGTAAGCTTTCAAGTCTTGTCATTATCTTTTTTTAAATCTATCAGGACAAAACTTTCATCATACACAAAATCCTCTCATATAAAGAGTTTACCTCATAGCCATCCTAATATTTTTTTCTATCCCACTTATTGTAAACCTTTTATAACAAACTTAGCAGTAGCCACTTGGATTTTAAAATGTCCTTTTCTCTTTTTGTGTTCTCAGATTGTTATATTTTAAATTTGACTTGTTACCAACAGAACTCTAATAAGCTGAGTCAGTGCTCTTATCTTACAACTGTAAGACTTGAATAGGCTAAAGTGACTCCATGCTAATAGGCCAGACTGTGCTTCTTCATATGCTAATTGCTACCTTGGTTAACAGCCCACCCAGGGGCAAATGGTTTGACAAAAGGTGACCCTAGAACATTTCCTGCATAAGATAAGCAATGTGTTTGCAGTCTTGTTCTGTGAATTCCCTGACTCTTTGTTTAGAAAAACCTTATAAAAAGTACCTCAGCCCCTGAGCAGTTGCCTCTCTGAGCCACCTGGCTCTGGGAGTGCTGTCTGGCCAGACTAATAAAGGTCTTTTACCATCTAGGCTGGTGTGTTCCTTCCTGGGTTTCTCGTTCTCCGTCGAGCTCCCGGAGCCTCGCTGGGTGTTAGGGCCCAGCATCGTGGAGGCCTTTCGGCTGTTCACGCTCCGTGGAGTGGAAGTGAGACTTTAGGTCTTACACAACCAACAGAGAGCAAAGAGCAACTTAACCCTATAATTATAATTTAAGAATTTGCAATGCACATGAAATATTTTAAGCACACTAATTAAACAAGAATATCAACTCAAACTGGAAACCAAAAGTACACTTATCAATTAGGTCGTATTTGTAGTTTGATTCCTTTTATTAAACCACTTTAGGCTAGGCAGGATGTGGTCCTAGTTGCTCAACTTTGGCCATTCAGCTCCAGGCTGGAGTTGCTCCAGCTTTCAGATGCCTGCAGGCAGCATCAGGCTGGTGACACTGAGAAAGTGCTGGCCTTGGGGCTCCCAAAGCCACAGGGAGGAGACAAACTTAGGCCCTGCCTGTCTCTTTGTTTCACCCCTTGGAGCACATAGTCCACAGCCACCAGTATCAAGGCTCTAGACCTGCCTTGGGTCCCAAGCACACCCAGTGCTCCATTTCAATCACCCAGTGAGGTCTGGCTCCCTCCCCCTTTGTTGTTCCATCTATTCCCCTGGCGTGGTCCCTCCTTCTGTGCCTGTTTTTAATCTTAGCTCCCTGGCTACCCACCTCGCAGGCCTGGCCCATGTGCCACCCAGTACAGTGTCTCAGGCTTGAGGTGGCTCAAGTTCACAGCTTAGCTACCCATCTCCTCAGAGTGTGCATCTGGCAATGGGCTGAGCCAGGGGAATGGCACACCTTGTACTGTCCTGCTTTGCTCTGTCCTCTTTGGCACTTTCTAATTTGTTTGTTTGTTTGTTGTTTCATTTATTTATATGCATTTCCCTATTTCCAATTTTTTCCTAATTGGGAGTCCAACTCTCCCTGAGCCTGACTACCCAGTACACCTTGGTGTCAGTTTTGTACAACTCCCCATGAGTCTATTTGGCACACCCTTATGTGACCCACTCTTGCTGCCAGCCTCTCCCACTCCTCTTGGAATCGTAGGTTTCTTCTAACTCAGTCCAAGTCGGATTACTCAGTGCACCTCAGGCAGATGATCAGGCTCCCCCTACTGCCCTTGCAGTCTGGCTTCTGGGAGGGAAAACCTTACCATGGTCCTGTAGCATGATGCTCCAGAATTGTCCTGTATCCTGACAGGTTTGATGGTGGGGTTATGAGTCTATTTGGCACACCCTTATGTGACCCACTCTTGCTGCCAGCCTCTCCCACTCCTCTTGGAATCGTAGGTTTCTTCTAACTCAGTCCAAGTCGGATTACTCAGTGCACCTCAGGCAGATGATCAGGCTCCCCCTACTGCCCTTGCAGTCTGGCTTCTGGGAGGGAAAACCTTACCATGGTCCTGTAGCATGATGCTCCAGAATTGTCCTGTATCCTGACAGGTTTGTGCTGGTGGGATGGGGGTGGTTTCCAGGTTGGCGGGGGTGGGAGGGAGGCCGATTCCTTCTCTGAGCTGAAGTCTCCCTGGTGATTTCAGAAGTCTCAGGATTCCTACAGCCTAGGCCCTCTCAGGGCAGGCAAAGGAGACAGCAACTCTGTCGCTTCCAGTCCCTTTGTGGTTGCCAGAAATGTTAGAGAATCCAAGAGATAGGAGAGACGAGTGGGAAACAGGAGGACTTTGTTTTAGGTGAACACTGGCTCAGCAGACTAATGTTCAAAGGAAGAGCAGAGCACAAAGGAAAGGTTTTAGTTTTATAGGGTTTGTCTTTTTAATGATGTCAAATGAATATAAAGAAACAGGACAAGGGCAGACAGTTTTGTAATTTAGCCTTGAAAGAAGACAAAGCCTTGTGAATCTTGTGAGAACAAGATGATATAAACTTTGTACAAGGACATTATTGCCACTTTTATCTGTGCCAGAACAAGGAGTTACAGGGCAAAGGGGTGGTAGTCTAGGGGAAGGAGACTGCCCAAGGCTGAGAAAAACTTGTTTTCTTTAAGTTTCGCTTCAACCTATCATTTGGTGTCAAGGTCATCTTCTGTGCTTTTGGTGGCATTTTGAATTTTCTGCTGTACAATCTACTGAGAAACTTTTGTCTCTTCTTTTGAGCTTTAGTGCCTTGTGACGCAAAGAAGAGCCTGCAGACCAGCAGCACCACTTCCACCTTTGGAAGAAATGCGGAACCTTGGCCCTCCCTTGAGACTTACTGAATCAGGATCAACTTTTTAACAAGGTTCCCAGGTGATTTGTGTGCATATTAAGACTCAAGAAGACCCACCCTAGCAGAACATCTTTGTGACAGTTAATTTTTCTATTTAGATATCCTTTTTTGCTTACAAGTTGTGGCTTACTGTGTTTTAGGTCATATAACTTTATAGTACCCCACAATATTTTACCTTGAGAAACGCAGTACATTATTATAACATCTGGCAGTATTTGAATGTTTGGTGATAGATAAGTGGTGAGCGTTTTATTTTCTCTCCTCTAGGATATTCCTGGTGATCTTGGAAGACTTCATATCATGGAATCGATCTCTATGATGGGAAGCCCTAAGAGCCTTAGTGAAACATTTTTGCCTAATGGCATAAATGGTATCAAAGATGCAAGAAAAGTCACTGTGGGTGTAATTGGAAGTGGGGATTTTGCCAAATCCCTCACCATTCGGCTTATTAGATGTGGCTATCATGTAGTTATAGGAAGTAGAAATCCTAAATTTGCATCTGAATTTTTTCCTCATGTGGTAGATGTCACTCATCATGAAGATGCTTTAACAAAAACAAACATAATCTTTGTTGCACTGCATAGAGAACATTACACCTCCCTGTGGGACCTGCGACATCTGCTTGTGGGGAAAATCCTGATTGATGTGAGCAATAATATGAGGATAAACCAATTTCCAGAATCCAATGCTGAATATCTGGCCTCGTTATTTCCGGATTCTTTGGTTGTCAAAGGATTCAATGTCATCTCAGCTTGGGCACTTCAGTTAGGACCTAAAGATGCCAGCCGCCAGGTATGTAGTTTTAGATTTTATTCTTATTTATCTGGTATCTTGTAGTTAAGCAAATATCGGATATTTAAAAACCAAATTCTGACACCCTCAGTGGTTGTTTTGAAGATTAACATCCTAACCTCTTCAGGGCTCTGTTCTATGCCCAAAGTGATGTGGAAAATTGAGAAAATAACATGAACTTTTCTTTCATAACCAGCTATAGAAAAGGCACGGCTGGCTGATGAATAGCACGATACATTGTTTGGAGTGTCTCCTGGCCTGGTGAACATAGAAACAACAACAAAAAATTATTTTTCTTTCCTTCCTTCCTTCTGTGCCTCCCTCCCTCCTCTTCCCCTTCCCTCTTTCTTTTGCCCTTTCTTCCTTCCTTGCCGTCACTTGGTAGCACTATCCTGTCTCTGAATGAAATACTATTTAATACAATTCTCAAGAAGACTACTTTAGGAAAATCTCTTAAATTAAATATTCATAGAACATAAAATAGTATCGTTTATTGTAAGCAGTTTTGATCTGTGGGACAAGTAGAGACAAACTGGGTTTCTTAGTCTTGTTTAGGTCTCTAGCACACAAGGCTGTGATGGTACCTGTCGTACTCAAGAATAGAGCAGATGAGAAGATCTGTCAGTGCCTGTATGGAATGAGCTTCTGTGTGAAAATATGTGAAACAGTGTATCTTAAAAGCATTAAAAGTGTGCTTATATGCTAAAATTAAATGTGATGATAATTTATTGTTGTTTTGAGACAAGGTCTTACTGTGTATTTCAGGCTGGCCTTGAACTTACTAAGTAGCCTAGGCTGGCCTCAAATTTGTGGACATCCTCTGGCCTCAGCCTCCTGCGTGCTGTGATTTTTTTCTATAAAGACAGTTTTCTGGATTCCTTAGGTAACAGAAGGAAAGCGTTGTGTCACTGTATGCGCTCAGAGTCTTGATAACCTCTCACTTTCAGGTTACGGAATCCTAGGTTGCAGCTAGAATTGTTTGCATTCTTTTTCATGTCATCACAAGTGGCAAGAACCTTTGTGTTGTTGTATCATTATTTTAAATCTATTAATAGTAAGTTTATCAATTGATAAATTATGTCCACTTCAATCACTCCAGGCCGTTACAGCTGACATACCATAGACTAGGTAGGGTGTACCACCTTTGCCATTTTTGTAAACAACATAGCAGTGATGCATCTTTTTTGTCTTCCCACAGGTCTATGTATGCAGCAACAATATCCAGGCTCGACAGCAGGTCATTGAACTTGCCCGACAGTTGAATTTCGTTCCTGTTGACTTGGGGTCATTATCATCTGCCAGGGAAATTGAAAATTTACCCCTGCGACTGTTTACTCTCTGGAGGGGGCCGGTGGTGATAGCCATAAGCCTGGCCACATTTTTCTTCCTTTATTCCTTTGTCAGAGATGTGATACATCCTTATGCAAGAAGCCAGCAGAGTGACTTTTACAAGATTCCTATCGAGATTGTGAACAAAACCCTGCCTGTTGTCGCCATCACTTTGCTGTCCCTGGTGTACTTAGCAGGCCTCCTGGCAGCTGCCTATCAGCTCTACTATGGCACCAAGTATAGGAGATTTCCACCCTGGTTGGAGACCTGGTTACAGTGTAGGAAACAGCTGGGACTACTCAGTTTTTTCTTCACTGTTGTACATGTTGCCTACAGCCTCTGCTTACCAATGAGAAGGTCAGAAAGATACTTGTTTCTCAACATGGCTTACCAGCAGGTACCGAATGTCCTTGCCGTTTATCTGACCCCGGTAAAATGTTGTGCCAATATGAAGCATAAAACATAAGATTTTAAATAGCATTGAATTTTATATATCTCATAACGGAAATTTTCCTTTGTCATGTTTAGGAAGGGGAAACACTTTTTCAGTAACCTTTTTTGCATAAGAAGTATATGGCTACTCCAAACTCATTAAGGGTAGAAGAAGCTACCATCCCCTTTTTGTATATGACAGAGAAGTTAAGGTGTTTCAGGGATTTTTTTTTCTGCTTTTTTAATGTTATGATTTCAAGAACTGTTTTTACTATTGAAAAAGTAACATTGTTAATATTAGATTAACATTATTTTAATGTCTTATAATTGGCCATAAAGGTCAAGGCAACTCTCGTAAACATATATGATAAAATTAGAATCAGTGAAAATATAAAACAAAATAGGAAATTAAGATCAGGAGAAAAAAGTAGACTACACCTCTGCTGGCTAAGAGTATCTGTGGATCTTCTATTTTGGTTTTGAGATTGTTGATACAATGAAACAGGAGATACTGCTACAAGGCCCTTATCAACACAGTGTAGAAAAAATACTTATTCCTCTGGTGAAGCCTTCCTGCCACTTAGCTCCCTAGAAAGATCTCAGGGGGAGCTTCAAAAAAGAGGCTTGGTGACAAGGTAGACTGTGATTTATCTCATCCCCTTCCACAAGTGTAAAATAAGCGTTTTTGCTGAAGCTGTTTGATGTAGCATTTTTTCAATACAAGCTAAAGACATTGCATCAAAACAAATGTTTAAAAGCATTTGCATTTTCAAGAAGCCAGCCTATCATACTCCGAGTGCATACTATTCAAGCTTTATTCAAGCCTAAAACAATTTCTTGAAAGTTAATAGATTGATTCCCCTAAGCCATTCACTCTCTGAAAATGCTTAATCCTAGAGCTTTGATGTGTGCTGACCTAGCTTCCTCATGCCCGTCTATCGCTTACTCAGATATCATTTTTTCGACAAGGCCTCCACTGGACACTAAATTCTGCCCCCCACCTCGAACCAGACAGAGAGCTCCCAGACCCTCACACTTATCCCCCTCTATTTGTTCTGTTTTTAGTAGCACGTACCACTCTCTGATACACTTTGTGTTTTTTAAATTTATCTTATGTACTGTTGTTTGCCTTCCATTAGAACCTGAGTTCATGAGGAGAGGGATCTTAGTTCCTGTCGCTCACTTGTCTATGGCCCATGCGTGTAGTAGTGCTGGACACAGTAGACACTGAACACGTCACATACTAGCGAGTAGATGAATTAGCTGGGAAGGAAAGTGGTCCAGGCTGTAGTCTACAGACATGGAACAAGACAGTGAGAGACTTAAGTTTAACAGAGGAGCTCTGTGAGCTCTTTCAGGATCTTGGTGTGATTGCTTCAGGGACCTACTGGCAAAGAAGTAGCTTTTTTAAAAATTTCAATTATGTTTTGTTAACTGAAAATGGGCAAACTTAAAATGGTGTTAAGAATGTGTCTGCCATGAATATTTAAATCAACTTCACTTCAAGGAGACCAGTCCTTGATTGATAGTCTAATTTTATTGTCTGTCAGTAGGTATTTCTAGAGTATAGTTCTACAAAAACTACCACAAACTCATAGGTAAGCCTGACTTGATTATATATATATTATCAATGTAATGGGAAAACATTTGGAAAGATTTTACATCTAAATAACACAACTGAAGTTTCAAAGTATATTAATGAAGCAATTGAAGTGGATAAATATGTCAGCTCTAAAGCAGTTTATCCTCAGAAAATTCCAACTTCCTAGGGGACACAAGGAAAGAAGAAGGAGATAAATCAATATATATATTATACATGTGAGAGGGGAAGATACAGAAATAAAACTAGAAATTTCCTAGCAAGATTCTAGGTTAAAATGAGCCTCCAGTAGGCTGAACATAGTGAATCAAGTTTAAACTAACTGACTTAGTACTTATATCAAAGGTAAATTCTGTGCTGAATTGGTTAATATTCTATGAAATAAGGAAAATCCACATTTGTCTTCTTGCTAGGTTCATGCAAATATTGAAAACTCTTGGAATGAGGAGGAGGTATGGAGAATTGAAATGTACATCTCCTTTGGCATAATGAGTCTTGGCTTGCTCTCCCTCCTGGCAATCACTTCCATCCCTTCTGTGAGCAATGCTTTAAATTGGAGGGAATTCAGCTTCATTCAGGTATGTGGGGTTTTGTTTGATAAGGTATGGGGCAGCATAGACTGGATTGTTAGGTGAGCTTGAGTTTTAAATATGAAACAGGTACTTATCAGAAGGTACCTCTGGGACACAATTCGCTGGAGGCCAGTTTAGCATCCTCTAGTGAGTAAGTGAAAGACCAGTACGTCATCATAATGGAAAAGTCCGATATAGTACTGTCTACTGTGGTGGATAAAGATTTTTTTAAAAGAGAAAAAAGTGAGAGAAGAGTGTGTTAGACCAGATTCAATGGTGAAAGTCAATTTGTTTTTAGCAAAAGTAATAAAATACTATCTTACATGTTGAGTCATCTGATCTTTCCAGGAAAAAAATTCTCATCCATTTGAATTCAAGGGGAAAGGAGCTAAATCTGAATATTTTAAAGAAATGTGTGCATGTACATATGCATGTACACAATGACAACCAATGTTAAACTAGGTGAATGGCGTTTGACCAGCACCAGTCCTGTGAGCTTGTTAGTATAAGTACTTAGTAATTAGTCATAGGGGCGTCTAAAAAGGGATTTCAAAGCACCATGTTTTCTTTAAGAAGTTAAACATTAATTTTTTTCCGGTAGTACCTTATGTTTGCATTTTTTTAAAATTTAACTAGAATTTATATTTTAACTATGTAGCCATAAAATTGGTATTGACTATATATCCAGATGGTTTACAACACAATATGTGGATTATGTAATTTGGTGGTACAGTTAGCTTTGTTTTGTTTCTTTGCTTACTTTTTGTATTTTAGCTTTTTCTTTTCTTTTGTAGAAATCTTTTAAAATTTTCATTCAAATTAAAGGCATAACCTTTTTTCTAAGTTCATTTTTCTTCGTCAGGAAAGAGAATGTGAATACTTTTCCAACTGCTACTTTAATTGCATCTAAAAAAGAACAGAAGGCCCTATGATATAAGGTGCTGGAAAGATGCATACTCTTATTGTAAATTTAGATGAGTAATTGCAAACGTTTTGCCTGCTGGAGAGTTTACATTTAATAAAGTCAGATGTTACAGCATAATACTGATGTGTAATATTACTTTTATGTAAGGTAGACTATTTCTCATAGTAAGTAATCTTAAACATAATAATTTATAGAACTGAAGAATGCTGAACTTTCAGAATTCAACCTATAAACTGCCTAACTGAAGCACTGAATAATCTCATTTAATAAGATCAATAATGTCATGTTTGAATTGCTATTTATACTGCATAGTTATATTACAGGAGTTTTTGTTTTCCTACTAATGTATTTATGTGTATGTACTATATACATATACTCATGATGATACATGTATGTTCTTCAGTATTAAATATTTCTGTGTATGTTTCATATATATATATATATATATAAATAATATATATATATCTTAGATGTGTGGACACATTTTATACACAATCAATGGGCATGTGGATAATTTTACAAAGAAGTTTAAAACTATTTATCAATACACTTAAGAAAAAACAAGATATTTTGATCAACAGTGCCACTACTAGAAATCAATCCTAAGGAAATAAAGAGAAATAGAGAAAAAAAAAACCTAAGTGACACTCTCTGTAGTTAAAGTGTTTGAACCGAAGTAAATGATCAACAAAAAGAAATGATGAAATTATTCATGCCTACTAAATAAAACATTATATAGCATTAACAGGTTTTAAATTTTAATGACATAAATGTTCTTGATTTAATAAGTAAAACAGACTATTAAATGATTTTTAAAATAGACAATATGATCTTATTTGTGTAAAATAAGGTATGTATGTGAATAACAAGTAAATTATATAAATATGAAATGGCTAAAATTATTAATACAGTAGAAGACAAAGAGTAGTTTAATTGAAGAAATGTAGTTATATCAAAATATAAACTTAGTATATCTGAATATGCATTTGAGTAATTTGTTTCTTACTGATTCTTTTTCTTCTTTCCTTGCCGAAAGTCTACGCTTGGGTATGTTGCTCTGCTCATAAGTACTTTCCATGTTTTAATTTATGGATGGAAACGAGCTTTTGAAGAAGAGTACTACAGATTTTATACCCCACCAAACTTTGTTCTTGCTCTTGTTTTGCCCTCAGTTGTAACTCTGGGTAAGATCATTTTGCTCCTTCCATGTATAAACAGAAAGCTAAAGAGGATTAAAAAGGGCTGGGAAAAGAGCCAGTTTCTAGAAGAAGGTATTAGAGGAACTGTTCCTCATCTTTCCCCAGAGAGGGTCACAGTAATGTAATGATCATCGGTGCTCATAGATACCATAAGAACTATTCACACCATTGTTTTTATGGCCTCCTCTGTGTTCGGTTGTTACGTGTGCTGTTGAATCGCTGTGGTTTGAAACCCGTTAGAGGAGATTTCAGCTGAAACTGTGACAGAATTTTCTTCAAGCTGTCACAGCTGTCCTGTTTTCCCAGTTTTAATTGTTTTATTCAACGTATTGTGGGAATTTAAGTAATTTTGTTTTGTTTTGCACAACTTAACATTGTTATTTTCCTGTATTTCATAATCAAGCAAAAATATTTGTAGTTAATAACCTAGACACAACAAAATATTAAAAACACTTCACAAGCCAGACTTCGAAGCTTTGAATATAGTTCAATGGAATACTATACTTTTTATGAGGCATCAGCAAGGTTTTGATTATTATCCAACTTAAAAAATAGAAATGCACAATCATACCTTATTTAAAAAGGCCACATTGCATTAGCATCTATGTAAGGGTGTATGGTAATATTCTTATACTCCTCTCATGTAAGAATTTGAAGAATGTTATAAATTTTATGAAGCAATTTGACTGTATGAACACAAATTTAAAAAGACAAACCTGAAATTATATTTGAAATCCACTGAAGACATAAAATACCTACAGACAATCCATAGCTCATGAGAGAGTTTGTTCTATCAAATTACAGAGAAATATCATTTTAGCATTAGTATGTTGTTCATCAGGGAAAGAACTCGGGAATATTTGACCTCCTAAGTTGATATGTTTAATACAGTACCAATCCTGGGAATGATGAAAATGTCGGGTTTACATACAAGGTTATCTGATAACTGATCTTTGTTGTTTCACTTCGCTCTGGTGAGAGATGATTTTACTGATGTTCAGTTGGGGAAAAATGTGCCAGGCATGACTGTAAGCATTTCACTTGTGTTAGCCCATGTAATAGCTCCCTGAGACAGAGAATTATCCTTATTTTACAAAAGAGGAACTGAAGGATAGGAGAGTAACCCCCGCAAGGCTACTTAGGAAAAGGTAACGTGAGCATTCAGGTCCAGGCATCACATCCCAGAAGTGCTGATTTTCACCACTCTGTCCCCGTGCACTGTGTTCACAGTGCCAAGCTGGAGACTCTTTGTACAAAGGTATTTTTTTTTTCTCTCAATGAGTTTATCTATACATTTTAGGTATACAGTCCAGTTACATTCATCATTGGGATCTTGTACCTCTCATTTTTTTCCCTTTGTCCCTGCCCTCCCTTCACCCCTCTCCCCTTTACAAACACTTCATTTCCATTTTTTTCTTTTTCTCATATTTTTTCTTTCCCTTATTAGCTTTCCCCTACCCTTCCCACAAAGGTCTCGACACTATTGTGGATGTATGAAATATCCCAGTCATAAATGTATTGTTGCTGGTGGTAGCCACGGACACTTACCCAGTCTGGCCTGAACATCAGACCCCACGACAGCTTGTCCATCTCCCTGTCCAGTGAAGAATTCAGGCCACGACCGGGCTGTGGCCGTGTTAACACATTGCTGCCACCCTGCAGGTCTTTAAAGGAATCTCTGTAAAATCAGTCATCTACTTTTCTCTCCCTGAGGAGAACTCCTGCCTGCATGAACATTCATAAGCGTAAAGGATAAGCGGTTAATTATAAATTTACTGTAAAGGCATACAGTCATATTCATGGAATGTCTCAGTGCTGACATTTCCAATGTAAACTGCATTTTGTTCAAACCTTATAGGGTACTATGTTTTTTCCCATTTGCTCCTTATTAAAATAGAGAGTTGCAGATGAAATGCAATTATATGCATCTCTCTTCCTGGAATTATATCATTTCACGAACTTGAGTCCAGATGCCAAAAATAGAAGGACTTTGATTTAGTGGAATCTGCCTTTCCTTCAGGGCTCTTTTCCTGCTACCAAAATGTCTGTCCAGTAAATCACTCAGAATCCTTTGATGTTCTGTTGGTGGTAAATTTTAATATCTTTTTTTTCTAATTGAGCTCCCCATTTAATTTATTGTTAAAGAAATCACTTCCTTCTCAATAATCACTTGTTTCAGTTAAGTGATGATGACCTTGGATAGATACCTAAGTGTGCCATTGTCATGGATTAGTGAAAATAATAGCATATTTTCAATATCTGCTCCTTAAATTTCACTCTGTTAAGACCATGCTTTAACCATTTAATGTGAAAATACAATGTAATATTTCTAAAAGTTAGAAGACTATCTAAATATATTGTTGCATGTATACAATAAGTAACCAGTAATATAAAGTTATCATTATTACAAATAAATGGGGCCTATGAAAAAATAAAGTTATGAAAATATATAAAATGTTATTACAAATGACAATATTTCCTTTTAGTAAAAATATATTCATTGTAATTCTAAATGCTTAAATGCCTTTCTAAAAGTGAAAATCTATTAATTATCTTACATTTGCTTTGTTTTACTATTTCTGGGATGATTATTTTAATCTTTTTTTTAAATAATTTTGCTGGCCGCAGAAGTAGGAGTGAATTTGGCTATCGTCACAGTGAATGATTGGGGAAATTTAAGAATGGAGATTTGTTTCCTGAGCTATGTTTTGAAAAGTGTCCCATAAAAGTTGCAAGACTGTAGAAAATATACCCAGTATTATACCTATGCAAAGAACATCAAGTATTATATGTTTTTCCTATAAGGAAAATAACCATAAGCTGTATCATGCTACTTAGCTTTTGTGTACTTATTTGATATATCTCCTCTATCAAGAATATTTACAATTACATGTCAATACAAATATATTCATGCTAACATTTATTTTTTAAGACATTCATGGAACTTTAGCTCACATAATCTACATGTGATATTTTTATTTAAACTTTAAAGTATTTAGATGTGTGAATAAATTATATTTGTAGGTACTTATCAGAGATAATTATTTTATGCTATAGAGTATCTAATGAACTCTAGTGTTAAACTACCTGATTTATTTCTTATAAATGAGCATAGCCTTGAGTTGACTAGAGAGTCATATCTTCAAAATTAAGTTGATAATGAGGTATATTCTTACATACAATAGTCAGATTATGAAAATTATTTGTGTAAAAGGGCTTCAAGAATATATAAAATTTTTATATTAGTTATCTCTCATATAAAAATAAAGTACTATTTTGTTTTGCCTTTTGCCATTAATCTATCTCATAACTCTGTGCAGTTCTCCCCCCAAAAAAAAGAAGTTTATTTATGAAATTCAAGATGTCTTAGGTGGTATTTTAGATAAAATACCATAAATGTATTTCATAGGTGTTTTGTGGTGAATGCTATCTAATCATATGCACATCAATCAGTGTATAAAATCTAAGTATTTAAAAAGCCTAAAATGTTGTATTAAAACTTCTTTGTAAAAAGAGTATTTTACAAAGGAATATTTATCCTTTACTATAATGAATTTTTAATTTAAGCATTCATGATATATTTTGATCACCATGTGTGATTTCTAAATTACCCACTGTAAGAGAGTATTCTCTCAGAAATCTTTCTTTAGAAGTTTTTGTAGCATTGCAGACAGCCTGCCCACACAGAGATGCAGTGGTCCCTTAGCACCCGTCTGCTCTGCTCTGTAAACACTGTTGTCTCTGCAGTCCTCAGCTGCCCTTGGGTTACCTGTCCACCCAGGGACGCTAGCCAGTGAGGTGAAGTGTCCTCCGTGGAAATCAGTGTTTCCTTTTTTGCCCGTTTGTTTCTGCTGCGGGGTTGTAGACATAACAGGAGGTGTGGCACCTGTCTTGAAGGGTCAAAGCCACTGGAAGGAAAATTAGAGACTACTAGAGAGACTTGGCTGGCTTCATCACTTCCCCGGCCTTTTCTCACACAGCGGTGTAAGAGGGTTTCTCTGTTACATAAAGTCATGCTACTCCTGCCTGGTCTCCAGTTCTTTGCCATGATACCATTTAAGATCATTTATGTGATAGACTGCAATAATTCTTACTTTTAAAAGCTTTTAAGGATAATATGAAAATCACATCAAAATCGATTTTTCATTTGTTAATTAATTATATTCATCTTCTTGCCTTGAACTTTTATTAGGTATTTTGTACTTTGTTGGAAAAAATCATTTCCTTTGTTATTATGTAACCCATATTTGCTAAAACTCTGTAATCTTCAAAATACTGCTGTCAAATTGCATCCCATGTTTTTTTATCTTCCTCATAGATCTGCCTTATAAACATTTAAATAAAGAGTAATATGTAAAGTTTTAACTTCTCTTTTGAAATGCATACAGGTGGTTTTCTTATTTTACTTACTAATAATTCCAGTATTTGAAGTCATCAATACTTTTCTATTTCTCTTTTAATTTTTAAAATTTTATTAGTCTACATTTGCTATACATAATGATTATATTTATTGTGGGAAGTTGCTACATGGACATAACATGTCTTTGTTGTTATTTTTTTGTTTTGTTTTGGTACTGGGGATTGAACTTGGGACCTTGCATTTGCAAGGCAGGCAGAGAAGCCACTGAACTAAAAACCCCCAGCCATAACACATCTTTATTCTTATGTTTTTCTATTTTTTTTCAGAAACATATAGGAAGTAATCTAATTGATGATTTTATTTTTGTTTGGTGGGGGATACCAAAGTAATCATTTAAAAAACCTCTATTTATTCATTAAGTTTATTGATACATTTTAGGTATACAGTACAGTTACATTCACCATTGGAATCTTGTACCTTTACATGATGGATCTTGGTTCTTATTTTTTCCCCATTCCCCTACCCTCCCTTCAACCCCTCCACCCCTCCCTATTTACAAAGACATTGTTTCAGTTTTTTCCTTTTCTCATATTTATTCCTTTCCCTTTTTTCCTTTCCCCTACCCTTTTGGACCTTTTCTTCCTATTTCACTTTATCTGTTATACATTTTGATCTTATTTACACTTTCAGTTTCTCACACCAGAGAAACTATTTGGTATTTACACACATGTCCTATTTATTTCACTTAAGAGTATGGCCTCAACGTGCATCCATTTAGCTACAAATGTCTCTAGTTTCTCATTCTTTATGGCTGAGTAGTACTCCATCGTTTTTAAAAAAACACGTTTTCTTTATCCAGTCTCCAGTTGATGGGCATCTGGGCTGTTTCCAAGTTTTAGCTATTATGAACTGTGCTGCCATAAACATGGGTGCACATATATCACTGTGGTAAGATTCTTTTAATTCTTTTGGAAAGATACCCAGCAAGGGAATAGCTGAGTCAAATCGGACCTCCAGTCCTACTTTGAGGTATCTCCATACTGATTTCCACAGTGGTTGCTCCAGTCTGCACTCCCACCAACAGTGGAGAAGGGGTCCTTTCTCCAGACAACCCCACCAGCATTTATTATTGGTTGATTTCTTGATAGCCATTCTTTTAGGAGTGAAGTGGAATTTCAGTGTTGTTTTTCATTTGCATCTCTCAAATGACCAGTGATGTTGAACATTTTTTCGTATGTTTATTTTGTTTCAACTTCTTTGTCTGAGAAATGGCTATACATTTCAGATGCCTACTTTTGGATTAAACCTTTAAATTTGGGAGATCTGATTTTTTTTAAGCTCTTTATATATTCTAGATAGTAGAACTTTGTCTGAGGAACAGCTGGTAAAATTTATTTCCCAAATTGTGGGTTGTCTTTCCAATAAACCTCTATTTAATGGGAGGATTATATGTAAAATTATTTCATTTTATTGTTTAGGGGAGTTACATTTTCTGTTTTATTTTGTTTGTTTTTGTTTTCAGACAAGGTGTCAGTATTTAATTCAGGCTGACCTAGAACGTAGCCCAGGCTGGTCCCAAACTCACTGGGATATCTTCCTGCCTCAGCCTCCTGAGTGATGGGATTATTGGGGTGCACCACCATGCCCCACTGTGCATTTTAAAATTAAATGCACAGTAGTCAGGCTCTTTTATAAGCTGGGTAATGGCAGGAATACGGTCTCACTCCCTACTAAATGTCCAGTGTACAGTATGTTCTACACTGCATAAGAAAGAGACATAATAAAGAATCACGACTCATCACAGAAAATGATGTTGCTGCTTCACATCCACGCAGCCAGCCCTGTTTCCTCCTGCTGCTTCCCACACATCCCTTCCCATCTCTGCTTGTATCCTTGCCTTGCCTCCTGGCTGGCGGCCTGGAGGGACCTAGTCCTCCTTTGGAGGCCTCACTGCTGCTG